AATTTTTGATGTGTTTATATTTTATATATATATATATATATATATATATATATAATACAAAATGTTGCATCTAATTACAACAGCAAAAAAAACATATATATAAGCAGCCACGCCACGCTGTTTTTGCTTTCGCATCGGTTCATTTCGCGGCCGCCGATCCCTGGAGACAGGGAGAGATGCATTCGAGCGGGAACGAAGGAATCGAAGGCAATGTCTTCGTGGTCACGGGAGGTTTGGGCTACGTCGGTGCCGCCTTGTGCTTGGAGCTTGTCCGCCGTGGGGCTCGCCACGCCCGCTCCTTTGACCTCCGCGGTTCCTCTCCTTGGTCCCGTGATCTCATCAACAATGGCGTTCGCTGCATCAGAGGTTCCATTTCTTTGATTTTTCGTCGGAATCTGCTCTCTTTGTGCTGTGATTGGGTTTTTCTGCTTCGACATCTGCGATTCTCTTTTTACACTCAATGATTCTGCTCCCTTTGTTCTACGTCGCTTCTATTAAGATTCTTGTAGTATCGTGCCCTTGGATTTCTCACTTCTCTCTCTCTCTCAGATTTTCAGAATTAACACTCGATTCAACTAAGAACAGAACAAGAACGATGAACAAGAGAATACACAGTGATTTACGAGTTCAGGTCAAACAGTGTACTTGACCCTACGTCTCGGTAAGATCGGGATTGTCTTTTATTGATTGATCAGATGATGGATTTAGGGTTACAAACGCAGATACAATCAAGAGTAACCGAAGAAGAAGACGCTGCTTGTTTTCTCCAAAGCTTGCAGGTTTTATAACAACCAGGAGCTGCCAATTACCAAACTACCCTCCGACACTAACAGCCTGAGCTTCGGAACGACGTCGCTCAACACCCTTGAAGTCTCTACTCGAGATCGAGGCTTCCCTATGTTGATATTCAACTCAGAATTGTGGATATTCTCATCAAATCTCCACCTTATCCGCAATTCCCTGAATTCTCCTCACATCCCCACCTCCACACTTGACTCATCTTCAAGTTTCAGTCAGTCTCAGTAAGCCCAACATCTGTTCGAGTTTACTGACAGGAATGGTTTTAGTTAACGCATCTGCCGGGTTCTGATTTGTATGTACTTTCCGAACATCTACCACTCCTTGAGCTATGACATCCCGAATAAAATGCAACCAATATGCTTTGTTCTTTCATGATGCACTGAGTTCTTTGATAAGCTAATGGCACTTTGTGAATCGCAAAATATCACCGCTGCTTCTTGCTTGAATCCTAACTCAGTCAATAACCCTTTGAGCCACATACCTTCCTTGATTGCCTCTGTGAGCGCCATATACTCAGCTTCGGTTGTTGACAGAGCTACAACATGTTGCAAGCTCGATTTCCAACTGACCACATTCCCAGCAACCATGAACACATAACCCGAGATAGATCTCCTCTTATCCAAGTAAGCTGCATAGTCTGCATCGCAGAATCCCTGAACCTGAACCTCTGTTCTTCTTTCATAGCACAATCTTTTGTTCTGAGTTCCTCTGATATATAGTAGCAAGTATATGTTCGATGAATCCTTGAGCCTTTTGAAATATACGCAAGGATCAAAGTTGCTCCTTCTGTATCCAATCTTTTGCATAAACGAGTCAAATCTCAAGTTCCACTGTCTTGGAGATTGTCTCAATCCATATAGAGACTTCTTTAACAGACAAACCATGTCCTCTTTTCCTGGTTCTTCGAAACCTTCTGGTTGTGACATTAGGATTTCCTCCTCCAGATTTTCGTGAAGAAATATTGTTTTTACGTCCATCTGTTCCAGCTCGAGATTATTCTGAACCACTAATGATAGCAAAACTCTGATGGAAACATGCTTAACTACAGGGGAGAAAATCTCATTGTAATCTACTCCTTCTATTTGGGAGAAGTCCTTTGCCACTAATCGCGCTTTGAACCTTGGTTTTTCAACACCTGGTATCCCGTACTTCTTCTTCAGTACCCATTTACTACCAATTATCCTCTTGTTCCCTGGTCGAGGTACAAGAGTCCAGGTTCTGTTCTGTTTCAGTGACATCATTTCTTCAAACATTGCTTGTTTCCATTTTTCCCAGTCTCTACTTCTCTTAGCTTCTAGGTAGCTACGCGGTTCATCCAATTCTAGATCTTTTGCTGCACTTAATGCAAATGCTACTATATATGATTCATCAAACCTGGATGGAGGTTTGATCTCCTTCTGGCTCTATCTCTGGCCAGAAGGTAGTCTTCTAGGTTGTCACTTGTCTAGTCTTGAGTGTTGTCTTCCTCTTTTTCAGAGTCTGTGTCGATCTTCGATATGGGGGTATTGGTCACCTCATCCATGATGATTTTTGGTTCATCAGGCTTATCCTGGTTTGCTCCACCTTGATTTTGGCTTTCTGTGCTCCCTTCTTGTTGCAGTATAGGAATCCTTGCTACCTTTCTCATTTCTGAGTCTTCTAGGTTTCTAGCTTCTGTTATCTGTTCACCTACAATGTCCTTATACACTTGAGTCTCGTTGAACCTTACATCTCGACTGATCACACATTTCTTTTCATCTAGTAACCAGACTTTATAGCCCTTTATACCCTCGGGGTATCCTAAGAAAATACCCTTCTTTGCTCGTGGCAGTGTTTTCCCTTGATCAGTATGTACATAGGCAATACAACCAAATATTTTCAGGTGTGTACGACGGTGTTGTCCCTGACCAGACTTCTTCTGGTACCTTGAAGTTCAGTGCGCTTGATGGTGACCTGTTTATTATGTACACACTTGTTTGAGCAGTATCTGCCCAAAACATATGAGGGAGACAGGTTTCAGAGAGCCAGCTTCTCACATTTTCCATAATGGTTCGATTCATTCTCTCTGCAACTCCATTTTGTTGCAGAGTGTATGTGCAGGTTCTGTGTCTGCTTATGCCGTGTTCTTTGCAGAAGCCATCAAACCTTTGATTGCAGAATTCAAGCTCTTATCAGTTCTGAGCGTCTTTATCTGTTTTCCAGTTTGTTTTTCAACCAGTTTCTTCCACTCGCATAACTTTATCGAAGGCTTCAGCATTGTTCTTCAAGAAGTATATCCAAACTTTGGGGGAGAAATCATCTATGAAGGATATGAAGTATTGGTTCTTAGACATTGACATCGGTACATTTGGAGATCCCCATAAATCTGAGTGAATATAGTCCATAATCCCTTTGGTCGTATGTTTTCCAGTACCGAATACCAATCGATGTGATTTTTCGAACACACAGTTCTCGCAGAACTCAAGTGATGATACTTCAGTATGAGGTACCTGTCCACCCTTTGCTAGTAAGTCCATACCCTTTTGACTCATGTGAGCTAGTCGGCTATGCCAGAGTGATGTTCTATCACTGTCCTCTTTTACTTGATGAGCTTCAGCTAACTCTGTTTTTCCCTGTAAGACATACAACCCATTCTGTATCTGATCTTTAAGCACTATTCTGCATCCTTTTATTACTTTCAATGACCCTTCTTGTGATTTATACCAGCAACCTTGTGTTTCTAGCTCTCCCATTGATATTAGGTTCCTCTTTAGTTGTGGTATATATCTAACATTGGTCAAAATTATGGATGCACCATCATGTGTTCGAATCTTCACATCTCCAACTCCTACTACCCAACACGTTGCTCCATTTCCCATTCTTATCAGACCATACTTGCAAGGTTCTAGTTTTGTGAACCAATCTCTTCTTGGTGTCATGTGGTACGAACATCCTGAATCCATGATCCACTCTTCCTCTATGTTTCGGTCTGTCACTGACAGAACTTCTGTGAAGTCAACTGCCTTAAGCTCACTTTCTGGTTTTTCTGACTTTGCAATTCCAGCTTCTCCTTGACTCTCATTTTTCTGTCCTTGATTCTTTTTCCTTGATCTACAGTCCTTTCTGAAGTGCCCCTTCTTTCCGCAGTACCAGCATTCAGCCTTGCCTCTAGACTCTGATCTTGATCTGTGCTTCTTGTTTCCGTTGGTGTTATCTCTGGTTTCTGATCTGCCTCTTGTAAACAGACTTTCTGAGTTACCCTTTTGTAATTTGCCCTTTGATAGAAGTTCTAGCTCTTTGCTTCGGGCCGCAGCCTTTACCCCTTCTGCCGTTATGGAAGTCCTTGAATATTTCAATACTTCCCTTAGCTGTTCATATTGTGGTGGCAGTGAATTAAGGAGGTACACCGCCTGGTATTCTTCCTCCACCTTAATCTGAAGGTTCTGGAGGTCAGATAACATTCTTTGGAAAACATCCAGGTTTTCCTCAATGGTTTTGGATTCATCCATTCGGAAACCTGGCAATCTTTGCATCAGGTACATACGATTTGGTAGGGATTGTTCTAAGTAGAGTTTCTCAAGTAGATTCCAAATTCTAAACGTTGTTTTTTCTTGTATAACCTTGCGCAGGATTTGATCTGCTAAACATAGGACTATCAAGTTTCTCACCTTACGGCTTCTGTCGGCTCTTTGTTGCAATTTCTTAATCTTTGTTTCCCTATCTGAACCACTGATCACTTCTAACCTTGTTTCAGTCTGAATCCTAGGTGTTTCCGAAATTTCTGACACAGACGAAATTGCAGATCTAGTCATTTTCTGCATCTGCTCATTCTCCTTTTCAAGATCCTATTTATTTTCCCAGTTTCTTGGATCATCAGTCAGTGTTTCCGCTAACCCCATTATTTCAAGTCCAATCTGAACCTTTTCTTTCCAGAGAACAAAGTCGCCCTTCCCGTCAAATCGTTCTACATCTAATTTCTGCATAAGAGTAGCCATAGATCCCAGTTGTTAGTTAAACCCAGAAAACACAGTTTTAGAAACTGACCTGAGAACGCCGGCGATCCTGAGCTCGTAGCTATTTTCTCCCTTGCACGAGACCGGGCTCTGATACCAATTGTAGTATCGTGCCCTTGGATTTCTCACTTCTCTCTCTCTCTCTCTTAGATTTTCAGAATTAACACTCGATTCAACTAAGAACAGAACAAGAACAATGAACAAGAGAATGCACAGTGATTTACGAGTTCAGGTCAAGCAGTGTACTTGACCCTACGTCTCGGGAAGATCGGGATTGTCTTTTATTGATTGATCAGAGGATGAATTTAGGGTTACAAACGCAGATACAGTCAAGAGTAACCGAAGAAGAAGACGCTGCTTGTTTTCTCCAACGCTTGCAGGTTTTATAACAACCAGGAGCTGCCAATTACCAAACTACCCTTCGACACTAACAGCCTGAGCTTCGGAACGACGTCGCTCAACACCCTTGAAGTCTCTACTCGAGATCGAGGCTTCCCTGTGTTGATATTCAGCTCAAAATTGTGGATATTCTCATCAATTCTGTAGTGAGAAGCTTAGCAATGAGTGCTAGATCAAGCTTGCCAATTATAGGTTAATAGCTGATTTCATCTATAATAGCTTTGAACAGGATTTAACGGTGTACGACGTTTGAATTCTGATTTCATGGGAGCATGAATCTTTTGAAGCACACCAATTCAGAAACGTGTTTCTGAGTTGCAACGTGTTAATTTCATTGTCCTTGGTTCTACTGAGAATTACTTGGGTTGGTAGCAGGGGATGTGACCAAGAAAGAAGATGTGGAAGCGACAGAATCTCGAACCTCCCCTGCTTCCAGTGAAAGAGATGCTCCAGTTCCGTCGTACAGACGAGGTTAACATTAACGGCACCTGCAACGTATTGGAGGCTTTCTCCAAACACGGGATCAGAAGACTCGTGTACGTGAGCACTTACAATGTTGTCTTTGGTGGTAAGGAGATTAAGAACGGCAAGAGGCTTTGCCATATTTCCCTGTCGATGATCATGCCGATGCCTATGGTCGAAGTAAATCCATTGCAGAGCAGTTGGTCCTCAAAAGTAATGGACGACCATTTAAGTAAGTCCGTTCCATTATTTGTCCATTTGGTGAACATCCCTTCAACGCTTTTCTTGATCTCCTTTCGATTTGGAAATTTTCGGTTATTGGTTTGATCATCATACTTGAATTGAATCCATGATTTAATGCATCCACGTCAAATAAATGCTGAAACATCATTTGAAACAACCTCATTAACTATCGCCCTTTGGTTATTTGTTTATCTTCTGGATACTTGATGCCATCTCAAGAATGTCTTGATGGTAAGGAAGCACCACCCAATGTGATTTAATTTGAACTAATTCAATGTGTTGCTTCAATGCCGGACAGGAATGGGGGCAAACGGCTGTACACCTGTGCAATCCGTCCGGCTGCTATATATGGCCCAGGCGAAGAGAGGCACCTTCCTAGGATAATCTCTTTGCCGAAGTTAGGGTTGATGCTCTTCAGGACTGGTGATTCGAGCGTCAAAACAGATTGGATCTACATTCTACATTGATAACCTTGTCCTTGCAATCATTCTCGCAAGCATGGGACTCTTGGACAAGATTCCTGGCAACGAAGGCCCTCCGGTAGCTGCTGGTCAACCGTACTTTGTTTCTGACGGTAAATCAAAACATATTCTCTTATGCCATGAACATCCGAAACAATTAGCTCTAGAGCTTTTGTGCTAAACATTTCTTAATTCCAAGTAACGATAAACCGCTTAACCAAGTGGTTTGAATTCTCGATGCTGTAGGTTCCCCGGTGAATAGCTTTGAATTTCTACGCCCTCTGCTCAGAAGTTTAGACTATGACACGCCCAAATTTACGATATCTGTACCCTTTGCTCTTTTATTGGGTAAAGCCTTCCAAGCTTTCTACACTATCATGTATCCATGGCTATCAAAGAAATGGATACCACAGCCCCTTATACTTCCTGCTGAAGTCTACAAGGCACAGTTTCAGAATCCTGCTAAA